CTACTGTCTTCCATACCTCCAGTTTTTGCAGGTGCAAACATCGGATGTATCACTGGATGCACATTCCAGATCTATCATGACGATGAAAAAGTTGTTAAGAACAGAAAAAAGGGTCCATTTGTTAACGAAAGTGATGAGGATAAAAAAAAAGGAAAAGGTAAAAAAGAAAAGAAAAAATTGCTATACTAAGGGGACTAAAAAGAAAAGCAAAGTGCGAATTTCACGGGGAGAAGTTACTCGGCCCCCAAGTCGACCATCTCGAAACTCATCATTATATTAGTATTAATTGTCGGTGTCATGAGTTTTTAAATACCGGCTTGGGGAAGGGGGGAAGGGTGAGGACGTTTATATGAGTAAGAATGCAAATATCTCCAAACTTACAGACCAGGAGCAAACTGGTGTTGGAAATGCAAACCCCGGGGTGACGAAAAGTCGCGAAAATGACATTCCGCGGGATAGAAAGAACGCCAAACACAGAGAAGGTACGAAACTTTTTTTAAAAGTTAACTCTGGCATTTCACGTACGATTCCTGTAGGCCCTAGTTGTAAAGATCAAAATCAAAAATCAAAACACAACGAAGAAATATCACTTGTAGGAGGAATTAAGTGTCACTAAAATACTTAATCAACGAAAAGGCAAGTCTAACAATAGGAACAGTTGCGTATACAAGAACTTCCAAATTTTACACGTAATCTCTTATTTTTGCTCACCCTACATTTGCTTGTGTTATCAAAAGTAAATCATAAGAAGAATTCAGCCACATTTTAATTTCCGCATCAATTTAACCCTTTATAACAATATTATTTAAAAATTGAATACCAAATCCATATCAGAAAAANGGTATGTGGACATCACTTTTTACGGATTATTTTCACTAGGTGATGCATGTTTGTCGACATAGGTGAGAGACATTTTTTTCTATTCACGCCACGTGTAATCATTTTGAGTCAGAATACAAATCGACATGGCCCCTTGGCATTTGATTGAGATCCTTTAAGAACTTGTTACTGTCAAAGTGCTTGAATTTCCGCGTCTCGCTCGCACGAGGTCATAGTAGGCCTTACGTGTCGAAAAAACAAGAGAATGAGCACCTATACCAAGATGGATGACACCCGATCTTAAAACCTTATCGGGGGAGTTTGTTATGCATAAATCAATTAAAGTGTTGGAAACAGAAGTGAAATGTGTTAGTTCCCAAATTGACTAGCATAACTCACCGGCCAAGGACATAAAAAGAATGATACTCAGAAAGGAAGAAATATGTGCAATTGCTTCTATAAAATACAACCATTCTCATTATTGTTAATTAAATTACACCGAAAGTTAATAAAACTGTTCTTTGTGCGGTTGGATTTGTAACTAATATCAAACACTCGGCTTTGTCTTAACTTGTATTTAGGGGAATGTCTTGGGGGAAGCAGGTGGTGTAGTTTATGCTCTTTGTCTTGTAGGATTTTACGAAAAAGTGAATTGCATAAAAAACTGTGATGATCAAAAAGTGAATCCAAGTCTAAAAATGCTAACGATTCGTTGTAACATAAGTGAGGGAAAATAATTGATAGAGCTCTTTTCTGAATTCATTCTGAGTCGTTAATTAGATAACTAGGCAGAGATGAATGAAAAACCGGTACAGCATAGTCATAGACAGATCTAATACAACATGGGTAGAATCTTACTAAGTCCGCCGATGTAGGGACCCTAGCACGTTTAAGCTGTCTAACAAAATAAAGTCGTCTAGACGCTTTCTTGATAGTTTCGTTAATGTGCAAGTTCCAAGAAAGATTGTTTGTAATAGTCACTCCAAGAAGTTTGTCATTCTGAACAACTTCTAGTTCGTGACCGTTAATGAACAAAGGTGATAGATCAGCATTGTTCTTAGACTGATGATATATGAATTTCCTTACACTTTTCGGTGTTCAATTGGAACCGGTTGTCAACGTAAACGGACCAGTCCGCCACAGAATCGACATATTCTTGAGCGTTACTTGACTGGCCTTAGGGAATTATTTCGGAAACTGTTGTATCATCTACTTACTTCCATAATGATGCGCCGATAATGGACAAGTCATTGATTATGATGACTAAGAGCCATGGGCCCAGTTTGGTATCCTGAGGAACACCAGAGGGCACCGAACCCCATTCAGATACGCAT